AATATTGGAAGAAGCATGTGTGGGCAAAACTGTGATTGTTACTTTGTTATCATTCTTTCTTTTATTTTTTTAAATCCCCAAATGGAGCCTTGGTAATAATAGCTATGAGGAGAAGGCAGAAAGTAAAGGGAAAGGCTCACTGACGAAAGCCTGTAGCCTGGTCACCATGAGAATTACAGAGAGACTGGTGGTATGGGACAGCTTCTCTTAGCTCATCTTAGCCTGCAAACAACCCTGTCTGCTAAGGAACGGCAGCTGGCATCCCAACCAGAAGGGCAGAAATCCAAGGCGATGGGCAATTTCTATTGAATTCGTGTATTCCTCCTCTTTATCAGAGCAGTGCAGTGTCCACAAAGTCCCAAGAATAACTCAAGTATATAAACCACAACAGATCAATATTTCCTTTTCTCAGGTACTTTTGATGGCAAATATGTAATTTTGTAACAATATTGATCTTTTCTAAAATTTTGTGTGCAGCTGTTTCATTTAGTGCCTAAAATATTAAATAGTTAGATTAACTGGAGCTACAGTAGTATGATTCAGTGACACAAGAGTTTGGGTGGAATTAGTTTCAAAACACTTATGCTGGCTTGGCTTTTCAGCAGATGAGTTGCTTCTGTGCCCACCATGACCGAGGCTTAACAGGGTCAAATCATGAGGATGGCATTATTCGGCTCTGCCATGTGAGCTCCTTGCACTGGCTCAACCATGGTCTCCTCAAATATGGCCACATAAGGATAGCATTTTTCTATTGGTGGAGAAATGGTAGTGGCAGAGAGATCATTCAAGTTGCCTAAGTATAAGGTTGAACAAGTGGAGCCCCAACTACCCCCAGTTGGGGCCAACACTCACTGAAGGGGCTACAGCTTCTCTTTCTGATGATTGGGGGTGGGAGGTGAATTACAATGAAAAAAGACAAAAAGTGCCAGTGTTCAAACATGAATATCCCTTCCTCCACATCTATAAAGAGGAGTCTTTTGATGTAAACCTGGTATTGCCTTCAAAACCTCTGCAGCTGGTGTGAGGGGAAACCTATTCTTGGTCTTCTCTTGAATGCCCTGTGTGGGAACTAGGCATGGGAATTGTCCAAAGCAGCCACAGAGTGAGCATGCAGCTCCCAGTGCAAACACAAATGCAGTTGATTGTGGGTAAAAAAGTCCTGGAAATACATATAAAGAATGAGAATTGATTTAGGGATCATACAATCAAGGACCATGACCATACTCAATCCAAATCATATTATTGGACTGATGCTTGGAGAGTTTACTTAGAGCAGTGGTTCTCAACCTTCCTAATGCCATGACCCTTTAATAGAGTTCCTCATGTTGTGGTGACCTCCAACCATAAAATTATTTTCGTTGCTACTTCATAACTGTAATTTTGCTGCTGTTATGAATTGTAATGTAAATATCTGATATGCAGGATGTATTTTCATTGTTACAAATTGAACATAATTAAAGCATAGTGATTAATCACAAAAACAATATGTAATTATATATGTGTTTTCTGATGGTCTTAGGCGACCCCTGTGAAAGGGTTGTTCGACCCCCAAAGGGGTCGTGACCCACAGGTTGAGAACCGCTGACTTAGAGCTTCAGAAGGTGTCTTCATGGCATTTGTGCTATTTAGAGAGAGGTCAGGCTAACCTCTGGGGAGATGGAAGATCACCATCAGTGTGTGGAATGGGACAGGAGCGACCAGAAGATACTCAAGGCATTTAATAGCAAGCTTTCTTTCCTTTAAGGTTATATCACAAAATCAGTTCCCCTACCCCAAGAGAAGTAATGATCTCATAAGAATCTCTCATTTTGCAATTTTAAAATATTTTTTAATTGATTTTTAGAGCGAGAGTAAGGGAGAAGGATAGATAGAAACACTGATTGGCTGCCTCCTGCACGCCCCCTACTAGGGATTGAGCCCACAACCCAGGTATGTGCCCTGACTGGGAATCGAGCCAGTGACCTCTTGATTCAATGGATCAACACTCAACCACTGAGCCACACAGGCTGGACTCGTTTTGCAATTTTTTAAAGGGTAAAGCATCTGAATACATTTTTATAGAATTTGGGTGGTGGTGGTGGTGGTAATTAAATACAGGACACAAAACAGATTCGTGTGCTCACGAGCATCAATCCAGCTTAGAGTTCCACATGTGGTAGCTGTGTGTGTGTGCTAATGTGGCAAAGCCACAGGAAAGCAGCCCTTTTATTTCCTGGGATCCAAATGATTTAAATTAGAAGGCTAGAAACAATGCAGGAGGTGACAAGCAGAATTTCCAATGTCTTAAATGTTTTAGGTATAGATCTCCAACTTTGCACTAATTTAACCATCTCCTCATCACTCCTATTTCTCTCACTCTGCACTTTAGGCAAAAAGGCCTGCATTAAAGAGCCCCTCTAAGGCTTCTGTAAATGTTTAAAGTTTGGAATACAACAACAAAACAAGTAATTAAACAAATGAAATGCCTGAACCACTGGCTCCAGTAAAAAGAAGGTTGTGTAATCAGAAATAATGTCTAACTACCCCAAACACTTAATATTATGTCAACCAGACAACTGCAATTCAATGCAAATCATATGGTTCCTTTGAAATTTCATTATTAGGTGTATGTTGCTGGTCACTTCTGGTGCTTGATGGAATTGGGGAAAGGAAGCCCTGAAGTAAGAATGCTTGGAGTGCATCAAGATTTTAAAATAACCCTACATGGCGAATGAAACTCCAGATTGACCAAAGCAAGTCATTTCCCAGTCTTCGTGCTGTTGGGCAGGGGGTATAAAACTGGAACAATACTCAATGGCACTTCCCCTTTCCAATTGTTACAGGTGAATTTCACCCTAAAAATTTCAGACCTCAGAAGCAGTGCTTGCCCTCAGCCCAGCTCTTTCCCTGATGGCCCAAAGAAAACCACCAAGGAGACCATCCCTCTAGCCACCTTCCCAAATGAGAATCTGCAAGGAAGTATCTAGTTTGCTCTTTCTGTGGCAGAACCTCCCTGTGCACTTGGCCAGCTCCTCCTTAGGCTTCCCACAGGTGGTCAGCTTTCTACAGCATGCTCCCTGTCTCCCCACTGGAGTAAGTCACCAGAGCAACATAATGGAAATGTGATTCTCTTTGATCTTGAAGTTAAGCAGTGGTGCCAGAAATCATGCACATTGATAAAGCAGAATTCCTAAGATAGTTTTCTGGCTACAGGGTTAGATGCAGATCTAAGAAGACTAAGGGGCAGTGCATGTCTTTGAAATAGAGCCCCCTCCCCCCCGCCCCCACCACACACACACCTGTCCCTTAAGCCAAAGCAGCTTCTGGTCTGTCCTCTTCCATGATCTCATGGCCTCTTTTCTTCTTTATTGATTTTTTTTTTTTAAGTGAGAGAGGAAGGGAAAGGGAGACAGAGAGAAACATCAATGTGGGAGTGAAACATTGATCAGCTGTTTTCTGTACATCTTCTTTCTACCAGGGATTGTGTCCGAAATCGGGGCATGTGCCCTGACAGGGAATCCAACTGGCAACCTCCTGGTGCATGGAGTGATGCCCAAACAACCGAGCAACACTGGCCAGGGAGGCCTCGTTTTAATTAGTAGCAATGACCAGCCATCCCCCAAAGATAGGTCCCACTGGGGTTTGGGCAGCGAGATTTCACCGAGACCAAGCTTAAGAAGGAATTACTAGTCAGTACTGGGCCAGGGCGTGGGGGTGGAGGGATGACTATGTTTTTCTGTTTGAGTTCTTTATAGAATACTTGAAATCTACCCACAGAACACTGTCAAAAGTAGAAATTAAAACAAAATCACAAAACAAAGCAAAAAAGTGGGGTGGCGGGGACTGTGGGAAAGGTGGATAAAAACAGCCTTTAGTGCATCAAGGAATATATGTCATTTTCAAAGATTAGATGTTCAAAAAGAGACTATGGAAGCTTTAAGTCTAGTTGTCAAGTAACAAAATTGCCCTAAAGAATGTAGAGAAAAACACCACGAAGAATGGAGCTACTAATGCTCCGGGAAGAGGAGGTTTTGGTGAAACTAAAGTGCTGGGGGGTCTCAAAAATCTTTCTTCCTTGAGACTTCTAGTGTTCCTACCCAAAATCAATTGGGCGACGTTTGCAGGCAAAGCACATTGGCAAGTAATGAGGGGGTAAATCTGTCTGAGTTTATCCTGAGTTTATATCCTCACGAATTTATTCCTTTTCCTCTTGAACATTAAAAACAGCAGAATTCCCTCAGAACTAAGGTCTCCGAGCCTTTGTGTGAGCAACTTCGAAGTGTTTCTGCAGAGACCTGTGTGCTGTTTACCCATATTTTGGAGGTAGCATCAGGTGTGTGGTAACACACCGCACAGAGCCTGAGCAGGATTTGAAGATGAGAAGATGCATCGTTACCCACAAAGAAAGCTCTTGGGGTCTCTACCCCACTAGGTCTGTCATAATCTACCGAAGTGATTGCTTTTCACCCTAGCAGAACCTGGATGTTCTGCATATTTAAATTCAGTTCTGAAGTTGGAAAAAGCTAATCTCCATGGCACCCAGGGGAGTCTGGTAATTATTTATTTCTGTTCATTCCTAAGAGTGCTTTTCCTTACACTGTGGGTGTCAGCCTTTTCATAAAAGGTGTAGCACAGGTTTAAGGAAGAGTTAGAAGTCAACAGTTTACAATTCTTGGAGCTTTGGGACAGCAACGTATTTATCCCACACCTCCCTGTCTCCTGCTTCCTACTAAACAAAACTCACTCCAGCCATTTCTGACCTTCGGGAGGTCGGATTCCCCATATGCATCTCAGAAAGAAGGTACAGCACAGCAGAAAGGAACTGTGGGAAACTGCATCAACACGTAACGAAGAATCTTGGGCCCCAGGAATGGCATCATTGCTCCATTTTGCTGGCTCAGCTCGTGACAACTCAGATTTGATGCTCCCATGTTTTCAAAAGCATCCCCCGAAGTGATTTCAAACAGAGGTGGACAGTTTGGTAAGCAGTTGTAGTTCATCTGCAAATATGTGGTACTTGCCAGGAATTAAGGCATTTTTAGAGAAGCCGTCTCCATCTTCAACTGGGCTCTTCCATTGTCTTCTTCGTCTTCCCCAGCTCCAACTTCACCCACCACCATGTTCCAGCACTCTTTTAACTGAAAGAAAAAAGCTAGGAAACTCAACTTATTTAATTGCTCAGAATGTATTTCACAAAAGCCAGAGTAAGTAAGGATGAAGATGAACCATCGTCATTTTATGAACATCTGCACCATCAAGCGTGTCTGGCTTTCCACGGGTGTTCGCAGTGGTCTCAGAAAGTCCTGGTTAAACCAATCAATTCCCAGCTACGCTCTCTCAGCATCTGGCAGTAGTTCTCTTGGATGCATCAGGTCCAATTCTGTGTCCCCAGGACTAATTATGGAATTGGAGTTTCAGAGAATACAGCAAGGAGGTTTTTGTGTCTCTGAAAAGGATGGCAATATAGGTGACCAGGATAGACATCAAAGAAACCAATGGAGAGCTGCTCTGGGAAGCTCTTCCCAGCTACATCTGGGCCCTGGGAGAGTTGGCTATGCATGAAGGGTGCCAATACGTGGCTCAATGCCGTCCACCACCCCTTCCTCCTCTGCCCCCTTTTCCAGGCATTTCCCCAGCTTACTCTGGCAGGGGGTGAATGCTGTCCCAGTGCTGGCATCATTATGAAAAAGACGGGGTGGGGACAGTGTTCGGGAGAAGGAGCTCTTTCAAAAGGTGGAGAGACTCTGCCTTGTACACTGTTGCTGCCCCAGCACAATGTTTGGCACACAGTAGGTGCTCAGCAAATCCTTGCTGAATAAAGGGAGGAAGGAAAGGAGGAAACCCTGCTCTTAGAATTGAAACCGAGGAGGTGAGAGGAGATTGGCATGCTATGTCCAGAGGAGTTGGCAGCAGGGTTTGTAAAGAACTGTGGTCTGCTGGGGGGCCTGATGGTCCTATTGCTAACATGTTGGAGGGTCAGCTCTTGGGGATATTGAAACTCCTCTGAGTTCCCTCTTGGAAGCCCCCTTCTTTGGCACCACAACCTGACGGGTGAGTCACCCTACTCACCCCCATCACCTTTGACCTCTTTGCTCTTCCCTGTCAGGTTTCCAAATCTCAGTATAAGCCCTTTTTTTCAGTGGGCTATGGTTTCCTGAGACCCCAGGGGAAGCAAAACGCGGGAGAGGGTGTCTGGTGACCCCCTAAAAGGCACAGCTTGCTTGTGCTGGAAGGGTCCCAGAGTTGTTTCATGTATTTATAGCAAATTATTCCATGCCTGTCAGTGCCAGGCTGAGACCATGGGCACACAGAAATGCTTTGCTGAGTTTTTGATTCAGCCAAATTTATATTTTCAGGGGAAAAAATGCTAAAACATTCTGTAGGGTCAGTTCATTGGACAATTTTCTAATGCTTAAAGATAAGCAATAACTGGATTAACCTTTTCCCCAGATCTGTGCTTTGTTGTAAGACAGTAAAACAAACAAACAAACAAACAAAAAACTAGTTGTGGGTATAATCCTAGAAAGAATTAACAGGGACTAGCAGGTTCTCTATTGAGGAGAAAACCTCATGTGCAATTGGATCTTTTTCCTTCTCTAGGCACCCAGGAGTCACTTGCTGGTTTTTCTCCCCAGAGAGCTATGATTTGAACTTGACCTAGGAAGTCTTCCACGGTTTTAAAGTCAGACCACTGGCAAACTGCATTCTGCTGCCCTTAACATCCACCCAGCATGGTCTTCGATTAAAAGAAGGCCATTTCCCTGTTTTTGATTTGAAAGAACTCTTCTATAGACTTCGAGAGCATGCACGCTGGCCAAGGAGAAGCCTCCTGTGTTTGAGTGGTTGTATGTGCAAGTGGTTACGTTGTGCCTCAGTGCAAGGAGCCAGGAGCCAGGAGCTAAGGTATTACAATCAGCCCACTTCTACTTTCCTTTGGGATCCAGTTGTTCAGGAAAGTGTCAAGAGGTTAAGTCTAACAGTATTGTGGCCATATTTACACTGATCTACCATAAACAACTGGGGATATGCTAGGAGTGGACTTTGTCTCGGACAGTCTGCGCCAGAAATAAGACAAGATTTATAAAGAAAAAAACAAAAAAGAAAATACTTGTTTTCTCACAGGTACTGAACGTGCTGATTCGTGTCTCCTATAAAGTGCTTAAGAGTTGGACAGAATACTTTTAGATGTTATACCTAACATAATGGAGACATGTGGACATTCCTACCAGGGCACACTATGGTAAACACCTCCACCGAGATTGCAAAACTGCTGTAATTGTTGTCTAACACATCATGCCATCTGCACACATAGTAAGAGAATCCAGTAGATGCCATGCAGAAACAGGACTTCCAGGGAGGGGCACAGACAGCTCCCCGAAGGGGGCCGGAGTGATGCACAGTGATGAAAACTGGAAGCAATTTTCCAGCTAATCGTCTGCCGATGACCGCTTGCAACGAGTGGGCACTGCATGTAATGCACCTCGTTTTCAAATCCACGGCAAGCTAAGATTTTCCAAAGCCCATCAGCTTGACTGGATGGGTGCTTTCCCCCGCAGTTAATCTGGTTAATCTGTCAATGCTCCAAGGGGATCGTCTGGCAGGGCCACGAGTTAGTCTCTCTGGGAGGAGCAGGTCGTGTTCATATCCACTGGCAGGAGAGGAGCTTGGAAGGCTCACCACGTTTATGGAGAACCCTCGATTGAGGCTGCAAGAAGAAACAGGGGAAGACACAATACTTTATTACTTTATGTCCCCAGGTTCTGGTAGGAAGCAGCAGTCATACTATTGCAACACGCCCTGACATCCTTAGGTGAAAGAGAAAGTTCTAGCGAAGAGACTGGTCACTCAACTCCAGGACAAATAAGGGTGGCTTGGATTCCTGAAATGTCCTTCTACTGTTGGTGGAGCATGGAAGACGTTCATCGCAGGAATAGGCCAGGTGGCCTGTGTTCACCTGAAAATAAAACGCCTTCCCACGGGAGAGGCAACCGGCATTTATGTGAGATTAAAAGAAAAAGAATAGCCATTCAGGTAAGCACTGATTCAGGCAGAAGCCCAAATAGTGTTCCGACTAGCAGGCAAAGGCAGTAGATATTTATGAGAAAGGGAAGGGGGACAATTACATCAATAGAAGGAAGGCATTTCTATTGGTGCCGATAAGCTCACAGAGCGATGCTGATTCCAAATAAGGATTTTAATTTTCAGTCCTATAGTCATCAGGGAGCAGTCATCAGCTCTGTTTCTTGTTATCGTTGCAAACAGTTCTTTGGGGCACGATGTTGTGTTAGGCCCAGTCCAGAGTTTATTTTCCATTTTAAGATTCCAAGGTTTGAGGCCTAAGATGTGCAAGGTAGCTCCTCAGGCACGGCAGCCCCAGCTCTATTTTAAAGTGGCTCTGTTCATTCTTAGTTTCTGACACCTGGAAGTGAGGGCAAAACCAGATCTCTGGACTTGGCATTCAGCCCTGGTGGGCTGTGGTTAGGGAAACTTTTTCTTACATGGTAAGGTTTCAAGCATTTACTTAATCTGGAAGGAGATCAGGTTGGGAATGGTGTGAAGGCAGGTTTTTATTTGGGGTGGTGTGGGGTGGGGAGGAGGGGTTCATCCATCAAGAAGCTTTCCTGGGCTGAAACCTAGAAGGAACTATTGGAGGCACTGTGGCTGGGGCTCCCGAGTTTGCTACTTGAAAAGTCAGGCTGGCTGAGCAGGTTAGAGACCAGACAGAAAAAGGCATCAACATCTGGTCAGAGACTGAGCTACTTGAATTGCAACCCTGCTTTTGGCCTTGGGAATGCTGGTGCAGATCTTGATGTTCTAATTTTTTATTTAAAAATTTTTCCATTATTTTATCTGGGTTCTCCCTACAGTTCCTGTACACAGATCCTCATTTAGTAGTTAATATAGGCATGCGATATAATGTTTTTCTCAGAAAACTATTAACATTAGCTTTGTGTAATACACAAAGTTATTGTGCAGTGGGAGTGGATGGCAAGGGTTCTTGAGGTTAAAAACAAATCTACTCTGTTTTCAAACTGGCTGTTCAAACAGGAGAGCATGCACAATGTATAAGCACATGTTTGATTAAAGCTCACTATTTTGGAGAAAACACAAAAACAAAAGGAAGGTACTATTTAAGCATGCTAAATATAAAATAATAATACACACTACCGATAAGCCTGTAATGAAAGTGAAATACTAATATACTGCTGGTGGCATTGCAAACTGGAGAAACAGCGCCAATTTATTTAGAAACCATTAAAAATTCACATTCCTTGACGAAGTGATCCCATTCTAGGAGTATATCCTAAGGAAATAATAACAAAAAATGAAAGAAGCTGTACACACAAATACGTAACCTAGAGGTTATTTATAATAGTGGAAAAACTGGAAACAACCAGTCTCCTAAATGATGATGTGTTAACAAGATGGATGATTGCATGGGCACTAAAGTAATAATTATGATGATTATGGGGCAACACGGTAAACAGTTATGATATACTACAATATAAAGCTTACACATATGCATAGCAAAGCACTGGAAGTGAAATAATGAAAACACTAGAATTTTTATTATTCTCATCACAATATTTTGCAAATCAACCACAAAAATTAGGCTCACAAGGATGCAGATTTGACCTGTGAGCATTGACTGACTAAAGCATCCAGGGTTGTGTTCCCTCACGAATAGTACCTTGAAAATAAATACTTCACAACTGCATTAAGAGATAATGCTCTAGTACTATTGAAGGGGGGTTAGAAAACACATGAGTAAAAGCCTTCCGTGCAAGGCGACCTGCAGGGGAGCAGTACATGGAACAGGAAAGATTTCTAGGAACCTGACACAGTCCAGCCTCCTTAAGATCTTTGCTCAAGTCAGCTCTGGAAAATGTGTGACTCTAGAAAAGTAGGATTAAGAATAACCTGTAAAATAAAACTTTAAAATGAATAATGATGGTAAAGAGTGAATGCTATTTAACGACTATGCTTTGCATCCCAAGTCAGGGTCAGTGAACAGTTATCGCAGTTGCTGCTTCTCCAAATAACCCTGTTTTCCATGTGAGCCTCTGGTAGCCGATGCCAAGCAAATGTATCTCACTTCAGCAACCACCCTGTAGCCATGGAACACGAGCTGAGCCCATTGCACTTTAAGGCTCTTTCACCTGTGGTTCTATAATACGTTCCCTTTAAATCTCTGTGCGATGAGCCAACATTAGTCACTTAGGCTTCTGGGAACCCAGCTCCTCTGTAGCCCCGTGGCCTGGACGTCCAGATGGGTAGGGAAACGTTAGAGTCCAGTGACTAAGAGCTTTGGAATCAGGAGGATCTGCGTTGACATCCTAAACTCATCACTTCCTAGTTATATGATGTTGAAACATGAATTTCTCAATGTCTTCACCTTAAAATGGTGATCGTAATCACCACCTCACTGGGCTGCTGTGATGGTAGAAAAAGCACTTTGTGTGGTTTTTGGTGAATACTAAATATCTGCTAAGTGATGGCTACTATTTATTATTATTATTATTATTATTATTATTACAAATTCCGAAGATTTCCTAGAGAAACCAGAGACACAAATGGGGCAGTGTTCTAATGCCAAAGCTGGGAGCCAGGAAAAAGACACGATGTGCCTGGAGGTCAAGCCTTTGCAGCCTCCAAGAGATAGCACTCCTGGCCTGCCAAGGGCACGGTCCACACACCTTGGCTCCCACTCTCCCCCAGATGAGCGCAGACTTTACCAGACAGTTCCTTGATACGGAGGGTTCACATCAAAGGCAGGAAGGGGCTGGCCTGGGAGGCAATGCCGGCCTTGCAGAGCGTTCAAGAACAGCTCTGGGACTGACTGTGTCCACTCCGCTTTTCCCCGCTCCAGCTGCAGGGGCTGAAGGGATCGGCGTGTCTGGGGAAGAAGTACAGCTACTGTGTGCAGGAGGCCTTGCTTCCCATGGGCTGAAGGGAAGAAGTAAGCCTTCACCTCTAGAAAAGGCTGTGTGGTATCTCCCATTCAAAAAGAAGAGCCATATCTTCCATCTGTGTATTTTATGTGACTCAGGCTTGAGGAATTTGGGGTGGGCCTGAATTGCACTTCGATGTGGGACTATTTATACAAGGTGTGAGATGCACATTCCAAAGGAGTGACACCCACGGTGGCCCCCACAGAATAGTCAGTAATAAGCAGAACTAACATTTACTGAGCAGCTACAATGGGCCAACTACAGTTTTATAGGCTGCCACTCATTGAATCCCTCACCGCCATCTTTGAGCCCTAAATTGCATTATCCTCATAACACTCCTGGAAAAACTGAGACCAAGTTCATTAACTTGTCACAGCCATACTGCCAGAATGCATAGAGCGGAGACTAGAAACCAGACCCGTTCTCACCACAGTGCTTTCCTGGCTTGGTAAGAAATGTGTTGGAAAAGCAAATTCCTTTGTTCCAATGAGAACACAGGAGAGAAAGCAAGTAGTTGTGTTTGTATAGCTAGAAGAATGCCCATCAAACGTGAATCCTATACATAAAGTACCATAAATGAGAGGTGTGACCTAGAGAAAGTAGGTTTTACTTAACAGTCTAAAGTATTCCCTATGTTTAGAGCAGTGGTTCTCAATGGAGTGCAGTTTTGCCCACAGCAATGCTGGAGACATTTTTGGTTGTCACAGCTTCAGGGGTACTCCTGGCATCTAATGGGGTATACGCCAGGGACCCTGCTTAAAATATCCTAGAATGCATAGGACAGCCCCCTACTTTGAAGAATTATCAGGCTCAAAATGTCAATAGTGTGAGGTTGGTATAGAGGATACAGGTCCTTGTTTATCTTCTACCCCTGGTTGTGAGCCAAATATATCACTCCTAAAATAGGCCAAGATAAAAACCAACATAAGTGTGCCTCTTGTGCGTACAGGAAATATGGCTAATTTCAAACCTCACTCCCCTCTTCTATTCATCATTTGCTCATTTTATTTGATTTTATATTCAATGTCATCAAAACCTCTAATATTAAATCATTTTCTAACTTTTAGAACCCTCACAGGCAAGCTATTATAAGAATCAAGATTGGATGATTTAAACAGGTATGCTCAATTAATTAATTAGTATGTATGGGAGAAGTTAGGAGATAAAAGAAGGACAAAGGAAGACTGATGTGGCAATAAAACTAAACTTGCTACCAGTACTTTGGTGGGAGAAGTGGGACACATTCTCGGTTGTACTGGTTTCATTTCTGTTACTACCTGCCCCCAACAAGTGGAGGGACGTTATGAGTAAGAAGTATGAGTAAGAAGTTACCCCTACCCCCCTGTCTGCATGAAGACTGTGGCCAGCATCCCAGACACAATGGGTATCAGGATGGCAGTGGGATTAGGGTAAGGGCAATAAAAAAGGTGATACATACAAACAGTGACCTTTCCTAACCTTGTGAGGGTTAATTTATGTGTGGACTTGACTGGTCCATGAGGTACCCAGATGTCTGGCAAAACAGTATTCTTTTATTTAAAAAATATATTTTGATTGATTTTAGAGAGGAAGGAAGAGGGAGGGAGAGATAGAAACATCAATGATGAGAGAGAATCATTGATTGTCTGCCTCCTGCATGCTCCCCACTGGGGATTAAGCCTGCAACCTGGGCATGTGCCCTGACTGGGAACTGAATGAGCCATGACCTCCTGGTTTATAGGTTGATACTCAACCACTGAGCCATGCCAGCTGG